CCGGGCAACAGAGAGACTCTGTCTCAAAATAATAATAAATTAATGAACTAAAAATAAATAAATTAAAACATAAACCTTACTAGTTTTCAAAATGAGATATAGGTTCAAAATTATCCTATAAAGAAAGCCTTTCATGAATAGACAAGAATATGAGAAAAGATTCAGTAGAAAGTGAAGCAGTAAACAGGTGACAAAACAAATCTTTCAGTAAGCTGTCTTATAACTATTGCCACAGTAAAAGCAATCTTTACAAAGCAAGGCACTCAACAACAGAAACGGCGACCCTTGCACAGAGCACTCTTCTAAGTACTCCCCACACTGACTGAGTTAATCCTCACCACCACCCTAGGAAGGAGGCTCTAGAGTGTTTGTTTCACAGATACAGAAACAGACACAGAAGTCCTAACACTGCCAAACCAGCTAGTTAGGTGAGAGAGCTGGGCTCTAACTCAGACAGGGCCAATCCTTTTGGAAACAAGTGAATTTATCTCCCTCCCTAAAATTTAGGAATTATTTTTAAATTCCTATAACAAATTTTCTGAAACCTACTGTAGACAATTTGACACTCTCACCTAATTAGAAAGTGTCCAGAATTTTTTTAAGCTTTATTAATTACAACGTTTGAACAGGCAGCTAGATGAGTGTCCATAATCCACACAGGGAATATATTTTATAAGTGTCACAAAACCAAGTCAGGAGAAAATCACATAGATACACATGAAGACACGATAACCCACAAACAAGAATATATTCCACCAATGCCCTTAGTACTCCAATTCTAACAGGTTAATGAATTAAAACATAGTTTTTCCCCTTTGATAAAATGCTAAGTTTGGAGCAACTAATTATTAAATCATAATAATCTTTTACCAACAGCAAAATAGGTTCAACCTAAGAATTACCTTAGATAATTTTGATTTGATCTTTTAAATCAATAAGCTTTTATTTTATTTGAGACAGAGTCTCACTTTGCTGCCCAGGCTAAAGGTCCATGGCGTCAGCCTAGCTCACAGCAACTTTAGTCTCCTGGGCTCAAGTGATCCTCCTGCCTCAGCCTCCCGAGTAGCTGGGACTACAGGCATGCACCACCATGCCCGGCTAATTTTTTCTATATATTTTTAGCTGTCCAATTAACTTCTTTCTATTTTTGGTAGAGACAGGGTCTTGCTCTTCTTGCTCAGGCTGGTCTTGAACTCCTGAGTTCAAATGATCCGCCTGCCTCGGCCTCCCAGAGTGCTAGGATTACAGCCGTGAGCCACTGCGCCTGGCCCAGTAAGCTTTTAAAAATGGCTCTTGACCAGGCACAATGGCTCATGCCTATAATCCTAGCACTTTGGGAGGCCGAGGCAGGAGGATTGCTTGAGGCCAGGAGCTCCAGACCAGCCTGAGCAATAGTGTGACCCCCCATCTCTACAAAAAATAGAAAAACTAAGCCGGGCATGGTGGTGCACACCTGTGTCCCAGCTACTCAGGAAGCTGAGGCAGGAGGATCCCTTGAGCCCCTGAGTTTGAGGTTGCTGTGAGCTATGATGATGCCACTGCACTCTATCCCAGCAACAGAGTAAGACCCTGTCTCAAAAAAATGAAAAGAAAGAAAATGGCTCTTTCTCAGAATTCTAATTTAATAAGACAAATAAGGAAATACTTTCACTTAATCTTTTAAAAAAGAAAAGAGAAACCAACATTGCTCTATAAAATGGAAAGGTTTTCTACCATTGGAGGCCAGCAGTAATTTCCATTGACTACCGTGGCACCCAATGGCAGGCACTGCCACAAGAGGGCTAAAAGGTTTAAAAAGCTTTCAGCATTCCACTAATCCACAGACGAACTCAAACGAACTGTCTGTATTTCTTAAATGAGAGTTATGGAACAAAGCTCATAGCTTTAAAAAGAAGTGGTGCTCCATTCCTTTTCCAGGAGAACAGTAATGTGACTTTTCTCTCCCTCCCTCCATCTCTCCCCAGTCTCCCCACATACAAACACACTTTCCCCATATGTATCTGGGCTATTTTTTCTTTTAATAATGTTAAACGTTACAGTTTTGTAAATCTTTTCTGATGGTTTCAATTTAATGTTTGTTCTTTTGTCACCTCCTTCCTATGTTCACTAAATCTAACAACTGAACTGCCTACTTCATAATTTCTCCAACCATTCAACAAATGCAAATCTGAAATAAGAATTTAAACCAGAGTTAAAAATTTTCTGAAAATTTTTGTTCCATGTCTCATGAGCCTTACACTAAATAGGGGTTTCAAAATGAAATGGCATGCCATATGGTCAAGCCCAGATTAAAAAAAAAAACTGAGAATATCTATTACCAATCCACTAACGCTAAAGCCAAAGTCCTCAGACAGTAAGATTTTAATCCAATTTAGAGACCAACATGAGCCAGATCTTTTTAGCAGAGAAAAACAATCCAATGATGAAACCATAATAAATGCCAATACTGTACTTCTAAAATGAAATCAATGTTATGCAGTAAAGTATTAGCTAAAAGTCAACTGATAGTAGGTAAGTCCAGAGACACCCTGAAGATTTTTACCCCTTTCTCAAAATTACTTTTAGCTACAACTTTCTCATTAAAACCAGTGGACCAAAAGACAAAAAAATAAAATCGACAGAAATTTTTAGCAAAGCAAAACAACAAAAAAACAGAACAAAGCTTTGGTACTTTTACAGGATAGTCACCACCTCCTCTGAGAAATAAATTAATTCTTCATAAAGTCAGCCATCGATTTCTCAAGTGGCCAACATAAATCTACCTAGATGATATAAGCTTTGAAATAAAAAGTCACTAGACATGAAAAAAAATTTTTAAAAGACATTATTCTGTAGCCTTTTTTTGTACCACCCCCCGCTGCTATTCTGTAACCTTCTGAATCGCTTTTGAAATTACAATTAAATCTCAGAAAATTTACTTCAATCCCTCCCCCCAAAAAAACCCCAGAAATAACTGAGGATATCAACAAAAAATCTTTTTAAAGGTATCATTAAAGGGTACTCTGCTTAGGTCCTGTCTGATGAGATAAACACAGCCGTTATAAATTCATACAGGAATAGCTCTTGTCCAGTAGATGTGCTCATTTAAAAGGGTCGATCCTGCATCACAACTTCACTGTGGAACAATTTCCTCAGGATTATAAGAATAATCCTGACCCTGGGCCGCTCAAGATGACCTGACGGTTATCATGGTGGGCAATGCGAAGCAAGGGTAATTGGGAACGAGCACAGGTACAACCACAAAACTTCACTTTAGTTTTCCAAACTCTCAACCTGTAAGAAAAACTTGTAGCACTTAAAATGACTGTGAAACCCAATGCACATAATTGTGGAAATCACAGCCGGCCATTTGCAGGCCAGCCCCTCCCCAACCCCACCTCAGGATTCACAGGCTCAGCCTCTGAACCCTCCAGTTGCAATCCCTTTCTGGACAGTTCTGATCTGAGGAAAGTTCTGCCTTACAATAAATCAGGCCAAAAGCTACCACCCAGTTCTGCCGTTTGGAGGCTCCCAGACAGTCTCCATGTCGGCAGCATCAGCTCCATCTCCAGCCACACACCCAGTGTTAGTAAGGAAGCAAAAAAGGAACTGCCTCTTCACTTTCTTTTTGCAATATATACCCTCCAGAAGAATCCAGTATGGACTATACCTCAACAGCACCCTTACTTTCCAATAAAGGGTTCCTTCTTCCCCCAAAAGACTACAGCTTCAAATCAGAAAATAACTTATGCAGAAACCTTACCAATAACAACGCTTGCTCTAAAGACCTTATCTTGGTATCTAGAGTTGACTGGAAGTTTTCACGAAAGCAATACTTTCATTTATTTGCTAATCATGAAAAATAATCTACATACTTTCTTAATCTCAAGTAACTGCATTATCACCAAATATTATTGGAGACTGCGGTCATCCGACAGCAAAACGAAAATACAAAGGACCCACTAATGCTTTCCCAACCCAAACTGCAGGGTAAGACTGCTACACGATTAGCCCATGAAGCCCAGTATTGTAATGAACAGTAAATGTCCCCCAACTCCCCTCCCAAAACACAAATTCTTACATCGGTGTTTTCCTGCAGTAAATGCATCTCACTACCGTAACTGATGAAGCTGGCACTGTCCCTGCACGGAAAGCAGGTAATTTACAGGACACGGGAAATGTTTAAATACCTTCCGAACCAACTATTGACTCACGAGGAAGAATGCAGAAGGCTGTGAAAAGGCCGAGTGCCCCGCCGCACCCCGTGGGATTTTCAGCAGGAGTCCCCGCCCCGCGCCCCACTGCCCTCCGCAAAGCCCGTCGCGGCGGGAGGAAGACTCCGGTCCTCGCGCCGCTTCCGCCCCGTGCCCACGTCGGCCGGCGGCGCGGACGGACCCGGCGGCGGGAGCCACAAAGGCAGCGCCATCTTGGCCGGGGCCGCCCGGCCCATTCATTCTCCGGCCGCCGGCCCGGCCGCGCCGCCCGGGAGCCGCCGACCGCGCGGCCGCCGCTCGGCGGGGCCGCGGGGACGGGGAGGCCACGGCGCGGCGCCCCCGCGGCCGCCGGGAACCGCCGTCCTCCCGGCGCCACCCCGGGCGCCGCTTTGCCGCCCGCCCCGCGCCGCCCGCCCCCCGCAGCCCGACCTGCAGAGTCGCCCGCGGGCCGCTAAACGCGGGGCGCCGCCCCGACACCCCCCGCCTGCAGCCCGCGGCCGGCCTTTGTTCTCGCGGCAGCGGCCCGAGCGCCACGTCCGGCTTCCCACGCAGGCCGGACCGCGCCGCGTCCCGGGGCCCCGCCGCCCCGCCGCGCGACGACGCCCGCCCCCCCCGCCCGGTTCCCGTCCGGCCGCCGCGCCGCCCGCCCACCCGGGCGGGGCAGGAAGACGCGGCCCGGCCGGCGGCGGTGGGGGCGCGGGCGGGGGGCAGGCGGAGGCCCGCCGGGCCGGGCGGAGGGCGCCGGCACGCGGCGCCGGGACGGGACGGGGGCCCGGGGTCGGGTCGGGTCGGGCGGGCCGCGCTCACCTCAGCGCCCTCGTCGCGGCCTGACGCGCCCACACCGCCGCCGCCTCGGCCGCCGCCCGGGAGGTCGTCGCGCTCGGGCCGCGCTGCGCGCTCTGCGAGCAGGTGCGCGCCGGCGAGGCTCGGTCCGGTCCCGCCGCGGCGGCTGCTCCACTCCCGGCCCCGCGCCCTGCTCGCCGCCCGCTCCCGCCGCCGCCTCCGTCCGCCCCTCAGACGCCTCCAGCCATCGGGATGGGCGCGGCGGGCCCCTGCCCGCAGCCTCAGGAAACCCCACGCGCCCGCGTCACCGCGCACGCCGCACGCCGCGCGCGCACGCACGGCCCGACGGACACGCGGGCGCGCTCGTTCGCTCCTTCGCAGGCCCCGAGCGCGTGCGCAAGCAGCTTAAAGGGGCCGCTCCGCAGCCTCGGGACGCCCTGGCTGCCCGGCCTTGCGAGGACTGGACCGGGGTGGGGGCCAGCGGGCGGTGGAAGACGGAGGGCGTCGGGCCCTTCCGGGAGGGGGCTAGGGGACTGTGGGCGGTGGGTCCTGCAGGTACAGGGGATGGGGGCAGGGACGGCAGGCCTTGGGCTCTACCTGGGGAGGCCCCCGGGGCCTTGCGGGAGCAGAGGCCCCTGAGGGTCCGGGAGCTTCCCAGCTGGTGGCTGCTGCGAGCTCCGGCAGTTGGCTGGGGCACAGGTCTGCGTGGTCTCCGTGGTGGGGACAGGTGCTGCCCAGGTGGAACCCAGGCACCCCTGTAGGGCAGGGCCTCCACCGGGCAGGGAGGAGGAATGAGCCTGTCAGGAGGCCCATGGTAGACCCCTGGGACAGATGAGCACTGAAAGCCCTTCAGTGAGGAAGGGGAAGGAGGCCAAGACGGCCAGATGTCCTCCCGCCAGACAAACCTCTGGAATGTCGGTGGAGCCTGCCTGTGCACCTATGGCCGTCTTCCCAGCAGGACAGGGCTCCCAGTTACAACAGCCCGGTTGGCCCAGGCTCCTACACCCCCTGCCCGCCTGCCCCCTGCCCTGGTGCTGTCCTTCCCCATGTCCGCTGCAGTGGCAGAAGGGGGCTGGAAAGAAACCCAGGGGCATTACCGTCAGTGGGCCACCTCCCACCCCAAGTCCCTCTGCAACCTGGACTTCTCCTGCCTCTGTGTGTGTGTGTGTGTGTGTGTATGTGAAAGCAGACAGATCAGTGTGGCTTCCACACATCCATGGCGGCCACCCTCCCTGCTCCTCCTCCAGGAACCCACCCCTTCACTCCCTCCCTGGTCCTTCCTGGAGGGCACAGACACCCCACACACACACCCTTCTCTTGTACTCTCTCTGCCCGCCTGAGCTTGCGGTTCTCCTGGGCGCGCTGGTCCCTGCGTGGGGAGTGGTGTGTAGAGGCCAGGCCCTGGCTCTGGTGTGCTCATTGCTGAGCAAGGACTCAGCTGAGCAAGGACTGCACTATTGCCATTGTCACTCCTTGCTTAAAACCACTGACAGCTGCCACTTCCCCACCCCTCCCCACGGTGTCCAGGCCCCTCCTGTCCTCCTCACTGTCCAGACACTGGCCCCTGAGTGCTCCTGACGCCGCCGCGTTCCGTGTGCTGGCTTTTGTCCTGGTGACTTCACCTACCCAGGAGGGTCTCCCCACAACTTCACAGAGCTCAGGTCACCTCCAAAGAGACGTCTCCCCAGCCTGCCCCCTCCGTCCCTCCCGTGTACCTGGCTACATCTCTCACAAGGATCATTCCAAGGCTACCTTGCGAGCCCTCCCTCTGCTGCAGCGAAAGCCCTGTGAAGCCCACCTCTACCTGCCGTTCCACCTGCTGAGAATAGCGGCCCGCCCACAGGGGGCCTCAGGCTCTGTGTTCTAAGAGGGTTGTGACTCAGCACAGGAACCAGAGCCTGGAGGGGCAGGTCGGGGAGAGCCAGAACTGTCACTTTGGCCTGGATGAGGGCAGTGTGAGTGGCAGGACGTTCAGGAGAGATGTGGACACCAGGCTCCTGCAGGGAGAGCAAGGGTGGAGCGTGGGGCACACCAAAGGCCAGGGGACAATGGACAGACAGAGGTTCCAGACTCTGAGGGCCAGAGTGGCTGCCCGAACCCAGCAGGCCTGATGCCACCCCGTGGTGCCCACCTGAGCCTAGGACTTGAGGAGTGGCAGTGAAGGGGAGGGGGAGACAGCAGTAAGTGGCCCAAGGGGGCAAGGGCCCACTCGTCTCTGCAGAGACCTCCGTGCTGCTGTGGGGTGGCAAGCTGCACAGGGCACCCTCAGAACCCCCACCTGCCACTCTGGGTCCCTGCACAGCTGGCTCAGGGCTGTGGAGGAGGCTTGGGAGGGGCGGGCACCAGACTGGGCAGTGGCAGGGTTGGGCCTCAGGGCTCCCTGGCCTAACAGGCCACCATGGGCCTAGCTGGACCCATCCCTGGGCACAGCCAGGGACACAGGGCTAAGCCACGCATGAGGACAGAAGGCAAGTGCGTGCCCAGCCTTCTGAGGTTTGGGGGTGCAGCCCTAGCACCTCTAGCTAATCTGTAGGTCTGCAGGGCGGGGGCAGGCCTTCCCTGGAACTTGCCCTGTGGCCAGGGCAGAAATCCTCATTTATGTGTTTATGGATGGGTGTGAGGGCAAAGTTGAGGGGAAGGAAGGAGGGAAGGAGCAGGGGGCCTGGGCTCTTATTCCCAGAGCCCTGGCTGCAGCCTCCAGTTGCCCACCTGGCCTCACACCCCTCTGACATGCACAGTCCCTGGGCAGCAGGGGCCTCTGGCCCTGGCCCTTGGTCACTCATGAGGGAGCCCCAGGAGCTCCCAGCTTGCAGCCAGGGCCCCTCCCTGGAGATAAGGGGCAGCCGTCCCCTCTGTACCTCACAGGAGCTGAGGGACCCTGGACCCTGCCCTCCCTGCCCCGCCTCCACACTCCACGCCCTCTAGCCCAGGCCTCTTGGAGTTTTGGGGCCCTACCTGCCACCCAGCCCCCTCCACAGTGGGGCAAAAATCAGGGTCAGCCCATGCTTGGCCAGCAATTTCCCAGGGACACTCCCTTCTGCAAGGATCTTAGCCATCAGCCAGAGCCCTGGGTCCACAGCCACACCCGGTCAGCTGTGCACTGCCTGGGGCCAGGCCAGCGGGCAGCTGCCGGGCGGAGCCAGGCCCCAGGGTGGAGGTGGCTGCCCCGTGCCTGGCTGTGTGCCCAGCCTCTTCTAAAACCCAGGGAGCGCCAAGGTATCTCTCAGCTGCCCCACCCCCACCTGCTGTTTAGCAGGAAATGGCCTAACGGGAAAGTAGGTCTTTTTAAATCTGAATTATTCAAACAGTCTGTCCATGTGACCAGGACCCACTGCACCATCCTGGTGGTGCCCTGGGTGCGGGTGCTCTGGCCAGGCTTTGAAGGGTCTCAGGGCGGCAGGGGACGGGACGGGTCTGGATTTCCCTCCAGTGGGAGTGCCGGGCGGGGAGGGGCACCGGCAGAAGCCCCTTTGCCGGGCCCTGGGCTCCCGGCTCTGCTCTGCTCCCAGAGGGCTCTGTCTGGCTCTCCGCACGCAGCCACCCAGGACTGGGAGCCGGCCCTGCCCGAGCCTCAGCGGGCAGCCAGGGGGGAGGGGGGAGCACGTGCGGTGCCAGGGGAGGCGGAATGTAGGTGATCAAGAAGAAAGCCCTAATTAGCTCCTGCAGGCTCCAAGGCAGGGTTTGGTGAGGGAATGGGGTCACGGCTTGTCCTCCTCCCAGCACACACCTGGGGCCCGAGGGTGCCAGGGACTCGGCAGGGAGCAGCAGTGAGGAGGTGACTGGCACAGAGCCCAGCGGGACGTGGGGACGAGGCTCCAGGGTGCCCAAGTGCCTGGCGAGGCACAGGAGGCCAGTGGGGCAGGCAGAGCAAGCGAAGGGCCTTGGGGAGGGAGCTGGCAGGGGCCCCCTGGCCACCAGCAGACCTCAGAAGGACCCCAGCCCTCCCGCCACGGGTGCGGGGAGTTGCTCATCCTGGTCCCAGATCCCACCACACTCCGTGCTCCTGACCCTCCTGGTCACCACCTTTGGTCATGAGCTGGACATCCCTCCTGGCGGGGACACCACACCTGGGGGGGCCGTGGGGAGTCAGGGAGTGCCAGGTAAGGGCTGCAGGAAGGAGAGGTGGGTGACCCACCCACAGATGAGCAGATGCATTTGGGGGGTTTTCCCCCTCCCTCAAGGGTTGGGCCAGAAATCCCAGGGGAAGCTCAGGGGCCTGGCTGAGCCGAGACGCCCTGGTGCAGCTGAGACCACCAGCTCCGGTGAAGCCCTGCATGGCCCGCAGCCGCTGCCTCCCCTGGAGGCCAGTAACAGGAGACTCCACCTGCCTCTCTGTGGTCTTGTGGTGGGGCCATCGGGTCTCACTGTGAAACCCTGGAACTGCTCCTGAGAGATAGAAAGAAATCCTGGCTCCACCCATGGCCCTGGGCGCCACACCTGCTCCTAAATGAGGGTTTTTTTGTTTTTGTTTTTTCTGAGACAGAGCCTCACTCTGTTGCCCTGGCTAGAGTGCCGAGATGTCAGCCTAGCTCACAGCAACCTCAAACTCCTGGGCTCAAGCAATCCTCCTGCCTCAGCCTCCCGAGTAGCTGGGACTACAGGCATGCGCCACCATACCTGGCTAATTTATTCTATGTATTTTTAGTTGGCCAATTAATTTCTTTCTATTTTTAGTAGAGACGGGGTCTTGCTCTTGCTCAGGCTGGTCTTGAACTCCTGAGCTCAAATGATCTGCCCACCTTGGCCTCCCAGAGTGCTGGGATTCAGGCGTGAGCCACCGTGCCTGGCCAATGAGGGGCTTTTCAATGTCGTCCTCCTTAGGGGAGCCTTTGGTTTACAGCAAACCTCTGTAATGAAGAAAGCTGCGACCATGAGCTGGAAGAGCCATCTCCCCGGCCGGTAGACCCAGAAGCCACGTGTGCAGGTGCGCATGTGTGTGTGACACTCTCCAGTCCCATCAGTCAGGACTCAAGGCAGCAAGTGGCAGAAGCTTAAACCAGCTTACGGGGAAAAGCAGCAGTTGACTGGCTCAGTGAACAGGAGTCCTTGAGCAGACGTGTGGGCTTCAGGCACAGCGGGATCCAGGCATTCAGTGAGGCTGCTGGGCTCTCCCCTTGCCCGCCCATGCTTCTGTTTCTCCATGGGGGTACCTGCTGTCTCTGCCTGGCCAGGAGATGGCTACTCCAGTCCCGGCCTTCCTGTTGGCCCGGCTCGGCAGTCACAATATTCGGAAGATCCCAAGAAGACTCTGAAAGGCTAAGCCCAGATTTCGTGTGGCCCTGGCGGCAGGGAGCGCA